TATTAGTAGCACATTATCAATTTCTATATAAATCTTATTGTACTACCAAAATCATATGACAAAATGATCTACATACTCCCTACCCTTAACTCTAATACTATCTTTGACTCTAACCTTAATCTTAGCTTTGTTAATGTTAATTAAAAAACAACAATAATAATCATTTTTATTCTGAATAGAATATATAAATTCAGGCATAGTTTATTTTTTCCACATCATGTAATATAGATCCTTCATATAAAATTTGATTATTTTTTAAAACTTAGAATAATGCTTTCACAAAACTATTTAATAAAAATTTTTTATTTAAATTCTAAAAAGTTTGTAAAATTCAAATAAAATTTTCATTAAAATTTATTAGGTAGTTGACTGGTAGTTGTTAAGAAAACATAGCTTAAATTTAGACAAAACTTTGTTTATTAATAGACAGAATAAAATTTTCCAAAATATTGAGTAACACTTTCTTGGCAACCACCTAATAAATTTTTTTATTCAAATTCTACAACTTTGTAGAATTTAAATAAAAAAATTTCTATCAAAATTTATCAGGTAGTTGTTGAGAAAATATAATTTAAAGATTTAAACAAAACTTGTTTATTAATAGATAGGATAAATTTTTTCGAATTTTTGTACTAAGTTTCTCAACAAGCACCTGATTAATTTTAATGAAAATATTTTTATTTAAATTCTGCAAATTTACAGAATCTGAATAAAAAAAATTTTATCAAAATTTATCAAGTAGTTGTTAAAAAATTGTTAATATATTAATTGTTGGGATGATACTAAAATTGGATGATACTGAAATTTTGACTTATATTAAAAATTTGAAAATATGTACCGGATAGAGATCGGATGATCATCCGGAAAGCTATATAACATTCGGAACTGGAAATAAAATTACTTATTATCATTAGTTTATCATTATTTAAATTATAATAATTAATAATATTTTTCGTTTGTTTTTTTTTTTTTTCTTGCAAAAAATAAAAGCGATGCAATATTTGTTATAAGTATGTATTTATATTGTAAGCTTTATTTCATTAATTACATATAAGAAACTATCAAAATAGAACTTAGCAACCCAAAAAAATAAAATATATCAAATCTACCTATGTCACTTTGCCAAAAACTTTCGTCGCTTATGCATCACAAGTTGAAGCTATCCCTTAAACTGTCGATTTAACCATAAATTAGACTACAATTCAATATAATTTGATAGCTTGATCACAGATCAATCATGAAATTTCCAGGCAAATTTACCTGTCAGACAGTTGAAGGCATAATAGCCAAATGTGAAAATAAGCAATGTTTGATTGTCTAAAGTGATATTAAAATTAGGTTGATATTTTAAATTTTAATTGATACCAATTCAGAATTTATTTAATACCTATGTAGTAATGAAGATCTAATAAGCATATTATATCTATTGAAAAGTTTTCAACTTATCATTAGTAACGTTTACAATAATAGCCAACTTCTTGTCGACATTGAATATTTCAAGAAGGATACGAAAATCCGAATCTCTATCGATAGACAAGTTAGCGTCTTATCTATTTCAACAAATTTCATACAGCCAATGAATATTCAGAAAGAAAATATCGATCAATTTGAAATGAAGGACATAAAGAATGATTGCAAAAAGAGTACATAAATTAGCGAAGAAAACAAATCAAATAGTTAAAAAGAAACAAATTATTATAATGTCGAAATTCAAGTTTATTTATATTATTCTATGCATTAGATATGTGTTGTATACTATATTAAATATTGCTTTATATTATTGCTATAATTGAAAAATAAAGTCTTAGTAAAAAGGAAAAAAACCGTAAAAATTCAGAGACATTTTCCGGACCATCATCCGAACCCAAACCGATACACATTTTCTGGGTGCTCACTACTTTACTAATTCTTAATAAATCATACCCTTAAATCTTATTTCCCACATTTACATATTGAATATCATTAACCTACATAAAAACTATATAACTTTATATACAATTAAACATCTTAAATCAAAATCATTATACTCATAACTAGAATCTGTCGCGCAATAATTATCACCCGACTTTAAACAATATTTATAAATAATTACATTTATAAACAATATTCGTGCAATAAATAAAGTCATAAAAAACATTTTTTTTTGTAACATTTTCTAATACAAATTTATCGCATTTTACATTAGTTTTTGAGTAATTTAGATGAGACAGAACAATATCAAGAAAATTTGGCTAATCGCTCTCATCTAAATTACTCAAAAACTAATGCAAAAATCGATAAATTTGTATCAGAAAATGGTACGGAAATTTTGTTTTTTCTGACTTTATTTATTGCATGAATACCGGTTAGAAATACCAATTATCTATAAATCTTCCTCAAAGTTGCCTGCCAATTACTGCGTTAAATATTACCATCCCTATCATAACAACTTACTATCTTTACTCTCCTAAACATCAATTATACAATACAGCATAACTCCCTTCTCATCCTCGCACAAATACTTGTTAATGATAAACGATCAAATATGAGATCCGTTACAGACAAAATTATTTTACCGATTAATTTACAGGCAAGTTTATTTTATAGATGGAGGTTCATTTCATCAATTTTTTTTTTATAAATTGCACTAACTTAATTCTAATTCTAATCCTGACCCTAACGACAATGACCAGAATTATTTTGTTTGTGAAATGAACTTTGAATTAATCATTGGTAAATAATCTTGCCAGTAAATTAATTGCAGGTTGACGAAATGATTGTCAGTGAAATAATACGAACCAAGATCAAAATGTGTCAGAAATATAAGTCACGTGCCATACGTTTTTACTACTGTACTGAACTCCAAAAGTTCTGCACAACAGCCAATCAGATTCCAATATCAGGTGTAACGTACCTTATTTTGCAGCTGTTTTCAAAATATGTGGAAAACGATTTCCATATATCCATGTGGGGAATAGAAAATTTTGGAAATTTTTGATTAAATACCGATTAGAGAGGCCTTGAAAACTCTGGAAATCTGGGAAATATCGTGAATTTTCCATGGTATAGTGATCTGCATTTTTCCACAACTTTTCGGAAACCGCTGTAAATTAGATTTAAGATTTAAAAAAGGTGGAAAATATGCCCAAAATTTTGCAAATTTTTTTCAGAAAACATAAAGGTTAGTTTTCGTCGGCAAATTAATTGCTGCGCATAATTTTTGGAGGTGCTCTTTGGGTGGTTTTTTTTTTTTACTGGGCACACTGCAAGGTTTGTATAGGGCCTTTTCGATATGTCCAACATCCAAGTTCAAGTTGTTTGTGCAACATGCACAAGGTTGATATTCGGGAAAAATAGATCATTTGGGTCAGAGTCGCATATATAGAATATAAAAAGTTCTCTTTATTAGCTGATTCAACATATTATTAATAAGCGAGAAAAAAATAGCTATTTCTAAATTAACGAACGTAAATTATGAGACCAAAATTGGGGCGATTTTTAATTAAAAATCGATTAATTACGTAATCTTTTGTTATCAAAAGACCAAATCTAAGTGATAATATCAGCAGCCAATCATATCATTTATATATAATATATAGACGTGATACCTTCTTCCTTCCCCTAAAAAATTACGTAATAATCAATACTACTCTTAGGATTAGGGTTAAATTTAGAGCAGAGATATCCGTATAGTAAAATCGCATTTCCGACACATTTACTTAGTCTATCAAGACTGGTTTAGATAGGCGTTTTTTATATTTTTCGTGTTTTCGTCTTTGGAGTTAACCAAATTTTCATATCGGGTGATTTCGTAGGGTGCCAAGATTTAGACGACTCCGAATCAGTTTTGCAACTTTAAGATTCCATTATTAATCCAAGACCTTTCGGATTATTTCGGGAACTTTACTCCAATTTTTGGGTAAATCTAAAACCAATTTGGTCACTGTCCGCTTGGAAGTTTATGATAAAAGTCATCAATCACATGTCAATTAATCACGTGTTATACTGTATTTGTACATACATTATCTATAATTTAATATATATACAGCTATATAATTTATAATATATCTACTGTATATAGTATAGTATATATATTAATTAATTTGATCCAAGCTCAAAATGAATACGGTATATGACCACTTTGGTCATCTGAATGAAGTGGGATCAAAGTGGAATCGCTTGAATCCGAAGTGAGATCAATATGGTATCGCTTGAACCCGAGGTGGGATCAAAGTGGAATCGCTTGAATCCGAAGTGAGATCAATATGGTATTGCTTGAACCCGAGGTGGGATCAAAGTGGAATCGCCTGAACTCGAAGTGGATCACTTGAACCCAATATGGGATCATTTGAACCTAATTTGGATTGGGTCACTTTAAATCCGAAGTAGATCCGAAGTGGAATACTTGAACTCGGAATTAGATCACCTGATCTGAAATGGGCTCATTTTATCCAAATAAATTAGATCACCTGATCTGAAGTGGGCTCATTTTATCCAAGGTAAATAAAAATATAAAAAGAGAAATTTTGTCAGATAAATCCTCAATAAAAATTATAGTTATTTCTAGGATGTCCATGTTTAAAGATCCCAATCGTTTAACAGTTTTTGCAGATCCTTATGGTCTTATCGACGCGAATTTTTCGTGAACCACTCACTGAATTAGAAATTTGTCTACGACTTTACTAGAATCGCAAAACAGTATACACTAATAATTGTAAATCTGCAGATTGGTTACACGGAGATGGATAGGTTGTCTTTTCTGTACTTCAATACTATATACATGAGAAGTACTATACATGGGATACTTTTACCGGGTACTATAGCAGCGACTTTCAGCCGCAAGTCAAAGCTCTTTTGGTGCCGTTGATTAGGGTACAATAATGTGACCAAATTTAGCTTAGAAATTCTAAGTTAACCAATCAAATTATTATATCATTTATTCGGCAGAACAAGTGTAGACTATCCATTACGCGAAAATTTTTTATGCGCGTATACAGAAATAAGTAACTCACAGATCAAATATGGGTTTTAAATTGGATTCTAACAATAATAGCAAGGTTGTGTAGCTACTTTTACACTTATTATTTTTTTCAATTCTATTGAATAACATTACGCGAATGGCATGAAAAAAAAATCGTGTAACTTATCTTAAATTTTTTTTGCATGTAGAAACCCGTTGTGATGTGGAACAATTTGAATTTTTTAGCTTTTGAAACAGCATTGCTGGAAAATGAAATTTCTAAATCTGTGTTAATTAATGGAGTTTTGGTATGAGAAAGTCCTCTGAACGGGTTTTTCTTTGAGCATCTCTAAATCTAAATAGGTAAGTGAAACATGCAGTTTGAAAATAATCTTTATGCCCCACCATTTGAATAATTGAATCTGTATAACCAAAAACAAAAATTGGTGGGGTTGTTACAGAAATTAAAACTTGAAAAAATGATCACTTTTTTTTTTTTATTAAAAAAAAGCTGACGCTGACGATTAGAGATTCTAAATAAGGGCTACTGATGCGCGGACATGAGAAAACTGTGTCCTCAACTCATTATTATTGAAAATTTCATTGTGCAGTGTGACATCAAAAATCATATATAAAAATAAATAACAACTTATCTGAACTATTGTTGATATTTTCGGGTATCTTCCAAGATTACTTATGTGTCAAGTATGTTAACTTCATGAAAAAAAAGTACTCTTATTATCCTGGCTTATAATCGTACTTAAAATCTTTAATACTGATTTTCCAGGTGAAATACGCATATTTCCCTTGTCTCTTTATTCGACCGCGTGGTTTGAATCGTTTATATCGGCGTAAACTTTCCGAAAAGTGGTAATTAACTGTTTATTGTGTTTCTCACCTAAAGAAAAAAATAATTGCAAAAGCCAGTTAGTGACATTAATCAGGCCTAGAATTTCTAGTCAGAAGCGAATGTTTTTAGAATTTTATTTTTATTTTTTTTTTTTTAGCTAGCACTACTTGTAATTACAGTAAGACCTTCCTAAGTGCACACTTTATAAGCGCACGCCTTATGTAAATTCTACCCAAATGCACGGCATACCTTAGCCCCAACTTATAAGAGCACTATATATTTTTCTCTCTATAAATGCACACACTCTTTTAAGTGCATATTTTGCTTTTATTTACTATGGTCCCGAGGGGGTGTACTTAGGGAGGTCTTACTGTACTTAGGGCGAGCCAACTTGATTCGATTATTTACATTACCTGCCCCTCCCTCTTCTATCTTTCCCCCACCTCTTAATGAAAAAACAATAGGATAAATATATATAGGGTTGCGGAGCATTTCAGCAATTTTATACTGTTACGGATTATTTTGGAAAGTTTTTTTGAAGAAATTTTTTAATATTTTATTGTAAACTTTCCTCTCACCTCCCCTTCCCCCTCTTTCGGGAGAAGGGTGTAATGTAAACCACTAAATCAAATTGTCTGACCTTATTAGAGATTAACATACATAGAACGCTGACTAAAGCTATCTGGATTGTCATATAGAGATTATAATACTCTGTATAAGAGCATGAAAAATATCTCCTGTGGTATAAAAAGTAATGCGATCACATATAGCGTTGGTACTTTGGTCGGCATTTAAAGTAAACTTCAGCCTAGTGAAAACAGACAAAAGTTGTCACACTTTGACTATTATTCTTTTGCAAGCATACTTAGTCATTTTTCAGAAAGATGATTTATGAGAACCGGACCATAAGTTTGCAACTTTTATTTGAGATAGTAAGACCGATTAATGTCTGTGAAGCCAAATTTTGTCCAATAATATTTAAATTCATGAAAAGTAGATGAATCGTGAAATTTTATCCACTTTTTTACGCATCACGAGACCTTCAATAATATCTTAAAAGAATTCCAAAACCTTTTACAGAGAGACCTTTCTAAATGCACCCTCTCTAAATGGACTTTCTATGTAAAATCTCTTTAAATGCACAGTATTTGTCTGGCCCCAGCTTATAGCACTATACTGTATACTTTGCTCTCTATAAATGCACGCCCTCTCTAAGTGTACATTTTTTGAAATTTTTTATTTTGGTCCCGAGGGGGTGCATTTAAGGAGGTCTCTCTGTAGTAAAAATGCCGGTTTATTACTAAAAGCAAAATTATTAACATCATCTAATTTTTACAGACGTTAATTACGCCGTATATTTGATACCGGGTAACTGGTTTGTTCACTTGTTTGTGTAATCATCGTATTTAAAAAAAACTAATTATTTCTGTCCAATAGATGCCAAGGATGCTTCGAAGATCGATGCAGTGAATTTTCAGAAGTGCCTTGGCTAATTATCGTTATTCATGGGAAAAAAAAAAGATTCGCTAACGAAAATTTATATATTAAATATGCAAATCGTGAATTTATCCCTTTCCCTCGTGTGAATTTTTAAGCAACCCATATTTTGTGTCCTAACGATATATGTCCTAAGATATTAACTTTTACATAGTATGACGTGCATATGTTTTTTTTTCGATGGTCTTTGACATTTACATCAAACGTATGATTATGAAACTATATTATAAACTTAATTGGATTCTGTTTGATAATTTCCATGCTGGCCCTTTTCATTTCTTTCATTTTTTAGTTTTATTTTATTTTTTATTGTTTTTTTTTATCATTATTAAACAGATAAGATTGTTGTTCTTTTTAAAGGTTACTTTCTTTTATGTACTTTGAAATTCCTTATTTGCTGAAAGAATCATACGATTACAATCATTACCTAATTAGAGATTGTAATACTCACAAAAATATAATAGTTTGATGTTGTGTTGATAAAGAAAAAAAAAGTCAATCTGAAAGACAATAACGAATTGAATAGTTTATTTTCTCTGTGTGGTTAAAGCAACACAAAATAAATAATTTTAGTGTACCGAATTTATTTAATTAAAATGCTAAGCTATAATCAACCAAATAGTATAGTTATGTAGTATAACTAAGCCACAATAAACAATACCTGGAAAAAGAGCCATAGGTGACCTTCAAGTCTCTAGAGGAGTTGATGGCTTGGAGACGATGAGATCGATTGCACTTCACTACCCTAATACCCAAGTACAGTAAAACCTCGATAAGTGAAGTGCACCTCCTAGGTGCACACTCGAATTCAAGCCCAAATATATAGAGAGACCTCTCCAAATGCACCTCTATGTAAAATCTCTTTAAATGCACAATATTAGTCTGGTCCAGCTTATAATAGCACTATATATTTTGCTCTCTATAAAATACACGCCCTCTCTAAGTGCACATTTTTTGAAATTTTTTACTATGGTCCCGAGGGGAGTGCATTTAGGGAAGTCTCCCTGTATATGACCTCTACAGATACACTTTTCTTATTGTTCTCTAAGTGTATGTTGTTAAAGTTTGTCCAAGAGCGTGCACTTATGGAGGTTTTACTGTATGTCATCGAATGGACGCTTATATCATACAAGAAAAAGGTATGTGTGTTTCGATATTTATATCTCATTATGAGTAGGTAGGAGTAAACGCCAAAAACCTCTCATTCATGTTAACAATCAGATAACCTCTAATTTTGTGTTACTTGGTCACTTATAATATAATATAACCTTGTAATTTGTTGGAATTGTATCATTTTATCGGTGAGAAAAACTAGTATAAAATTTTGGTCAGAGATCTGTTATTATTACCAAACATGTATTGATATCTTAAACAAATTTGGGTCAACTCATTGTATAATTGTGGTGTGACATACCTCGGAAAATAGGACCCCGAGCAACTTGACTCTTGACTATTAGTAATCAGCATGAATTCTCTAAACGAATATATTATATTTTTTTTAGGGGATCCAATAATAACAGATGGTCAACTTATTTAAGAACCCTAATTCGACCCTCTTTAAGTGTGTGGTGTAGGAATTGATACACCCAAGAAGGAAAATAGAAAATCTTGGACAGGTTACGTTAACTCCGATCTCCAAATTAATCATTAAAAATATTAATATAGATTTATTTATAATAATAATAATACAGTCGTCCTCCTCTACAGTCACCTATATAATCATGCCCTCTTTATAAGCACTATTTTTTGAAAATTTATTGATAATATATTTATTAAAAAAACTCCATATAATCACATTACTATTAAAATTTTATAGTCACATCTTTTTTATGTAAAACAAACCGCATGATTATAGAGGAAGACGACTGTAATTATTATTATTATTATTATTATTATTATAAAAACAAATGATCCAAATTTAAAATCTGCGGCCCTTTATTAAGCGTGAATAATATTTTATTTTACATATAATGCCGTAGTGAAAACTACGTTAGAAAATTTTATTTGTAATTATAGAAAAGCTTGCAATATACCAACAGGAAAAAATTACTTCATACTCTATCGTGTACAAAATACTTAATTTTTGTAATATAGAAAATTAAAAAAAAAAAGTGAGACATGTATGACAAAATAAAATCTGCAGATTCCAAATACTATGCAGAAACTTAAATTTCTTAAAGCGAAGTAACTGCATAGTAACTATATAGTAACGATTAAATTTAATTGTATATAATTATGTAACTACTATATCGTTACTATGCAGTTATTGCGCCTTAAGAAATTTAAGTTTCTGTAAAGTAATTTTTGCTTGGAATGAATTTTTAATCTATGAACCGCAGATTCCGCATATGAAATTTGGAGATTGACGTAATTTGTCTAGATTTTCTACTTGCCCCAAGAAGAATTTGCATTTATAGGGAACTATAGTTGTAACATCTTATACTAAACATAATATATATATATGTTTGAGACGTTAATAATTTATTTGCGCTAAAAAAGTTTACGGATATGATCTTAAAAAGAGGCTCATTTGTAACGCCTCAAAGAGGCGCTGTTCCGCGATTATATGGTAGTTCCCGTTTTGGAATTTGTCATACTGCAAATGAAATGCGCCACAAAAATTACCAAAAGCGTCGATGAGTTCCGAAGTTTTGGGATATACCTCTAATCTGGTAACCGGATACGTTGCTGATCTTAAGGCCATTCATATTTGGAACTGTCGACTAATGCTAAAAGAACTAAAAATAGGTATATGTGGGATTGGGGGGGCAACAATCATGATTGCTCTCGGAATCGCTATAGCGGATAATATTAGACGCTGCTTCGTGCTTGTTGAAGTAAATCGGCGTTTCAGAATCGGACTGCAGATACAAAGAGGAAAAAAAGAATATTGAGACAAAAAGATGAAAAACCTTATATTGTAGTCTGTACAGGTCTTCTATGAAACGGTTATTTCCATGAAAGCGTATTCGATGAATGACTTGACATTTGAATTATTTTGACTCATTTGACTAGACGTTGGCACATTCTACAATACAAGGCTGGCTCGCTCATATCGCAACGAGAAGAAAATATTCTTGATATTTAAATTCAATAGATACAACATTTCGTAAAAAGTAAAAATAGGGTCTTCAAAAATGTGAGCCATGTATAGTACGAATCAGCAGAGGTCTTTTTCGATTTTAACAGCTGCCCTACCTTGTTTGGTGCGTTGGGGGTACGTCAAGTATAACCTGGGTTTGTATAAGGAGAGCATCTTCCTGCGTATCGAATACAAAGTAAAGTTTCCAATTATATAATATAATTGGAAATTTACTTTGTATTCGATACTCAGGAAGATGCTCTCCTTATGCAAATTCGACGCACCAGAGCATGGTCGAAAATCCATTTGATTGGTTGTCGATCCTTGAAATTTCATTGGCTGCTTATAGTAAATGTTCTATATGAAAATGCAATCAATTATATGATAAGTTGCTGACGAATCTGATTATATCTGATTAAA